ATCCTGTGGCGCGGTAAATGCCAAGCCCGAAGGACTAGAAGCCGACGATTTTGGTTTCCAATCTTTATCGCCTAAATCGTCACGCGTCGAAACTAGGCTAGCCTCCAGCTGTTCGATTTTCTCGGGCATGGAATCCCAGGAAGGTCTCTGCTGCCACTTTTCTTTGTTTTGCGGATAAAACTTCCTCGCTATTGCGATAACGTTAGCACGCGCTTCACCATGTGGGCCCTCTTTCTCCTGATGTTTTAGCGCCATGCCCGCGCTATAGTCATCCTCGAAACCTTCATCTCCACCTGCCTCGTAGCCTTCATCAATAGGATCCAAAACAGGTGGCGGCCTAGGAACTGCTACACTCCTTGCACCTTGTTGCTGCTGTTGTTTCTTCTTTTTCTTGTTGTTGTTAGACTTCTTCGACGTAGATGATGGCGATGAAGCTCTATTAGGAGTAGACGCCTCAGAGCTCGCAGAAGATGAAGAAGCGGAAGCAGCAGTAGACGAAATACTCGACACAGGAGCTGCTGCCGCACTCTTAATGGCTGCGGAGGTCGTTGCGCCTCCACTGCCGAGTAGTTCTTGATGTGTGGTAGTGCTATTCATTCTCTGGGGTAAGCCTGCTGTAGAAGGTCCGTGCTGTAGTACTTGTGAAAGCGGAGTAGCAGTGCAGCAGCCAGCTTTCTGGTCGTCCGCCTGTTCTTGCTTCCCAGGATCATTATCGACTTGAAGAGCTTGCTCAACTTGTATGGCCAGCTCAAAACTAACTTGGCGAAAGTCTTCAAAAATTTTCACCCCACGGTGAGCTCACCTGACCGCGCCAGCCCGACAGCCGGCCGATTTAGTCGGAGAAGCAGGAAGGCAGCCAGGGGGCCTTAAGGTGGAGGTAAGTGGAAACTAGCTAGTTTAGCGACATGCCTTATGAAGTAGATATTAGACCCGTTCAACAAAGTAGCGACATCAGAATGGACCGGGACCCTCGGGCGGGCAGCTGCATGGGGGTGCCCAAATCCACATGCAGACCGATCGAGGAAAGGGCGCCCATTCTCAAATGCTACTTTTTCTAATGGGTCTCTAGTAATTTACTAGCTAATGCACTAGCTACTTTAACCTTAAGAATCTTCTTGCCTCCACTTCAGACCCCTTGGCCCCCCTCCTGCTGATCCGGCGCAAGCCGACAGACTCTAGTGCCGGTAAGGTGAGGCAGCCTCCCCGTGGGGTGAAAATTCTTGAAGATGTTTGAAAAGTTAACTTTGAGCTGGCCATAGCAAGTTGTTGTTGTTTATTCGAAACGACTTCCGGTCTGTTCATTAAGACCATGTAGTTTTTCGCTTGTTCACGATCACCTTTGCCCGGTTCTGGGCCTTCTGTTAAAAAAACAGCTTCATTGATAGAACCGGGACCGTCCTGTCTTTCCACCACTTCAGAAGACACGACAGATAGGGAGTTATTGGAGAAACTTCGTGCTGTAGTATCGATTTCGGGAGGAGAAGGAAATGAAGAGTTGCCATCGTGAGGCTCAACAGGATCTTGCATAGCTACTCCTGCACCAACACCGGCAACATCTAGTTCTCCTTCATCGACAGCCTGATCTAGCCGCAGTCCTTGTGATGTAGCGCCAAAGTGCCTACCACCTTCAGAAGATCCAAAACGGTCGGACACAAAACGGCCGGACCCTCCAATAGACCCAAAGCCAAAACGGTCGTCAACCTCAAGCTCAACGTCATCGCTACGTTCGGTAATATTTTTATCTACGTCTCCCTCAGACGGGAAGTGGTTGGCATACTTGTCAGCTAAGTCGCCACCTCCAAAACTATCCATCTGCGTTTCCGCAGAAGATTCCACAGAAGATGCATGAACATCCAGTGTCTCGCTGCCCTTCCTCTTCGTTGTCGGTGACTTTGCTTTGCCGGCAGCCGAAACTTTGTGGTGCTGCTGTTGTAGTTCTCCTTGCTTCGTATTGAATACCGGAGCTGATGCTTGTGCCTTCGCCTTCTTTTTCCCTCGCATCCTCAGACCACTCACCGCGATTTTTCCACCGTTAAAATCCCCAGGAAGTTGCACTAAGCAGAGAGCAAGGTAGTAGTAGCAGTAGTAGAGAGGAAACAAGAAAGCACGACAATTCCTTGTACTCCTGCTGCTGAGCAGGTTAAGGCCGCAACGTCCAGCAGAAATGGGCCTGGCTACCACTGTCTGCTGACGTCGCACCCGCTCAGACGACGAAAAAGTTTCCATTTTTAGTAGTAGTGGGCCCAATCTGCTCAAGTTCCAGCTCCAGTTGTAGCGCGCCCAATCTGCTCAAGTTGAGCTTGAGTCTGGAGCTACGTTCAGCAAGAGACGATTATGACAATGCTGGACTGATGATGAGTTTTCCTCTCTTGTCTCAGTTGTGGGTTGCATTCTTCCTACAATGAATGGGGCATGAACAATCAGCCTGAGTGGGGCATCAATCAATCTCTTGTCTGGTGAGTGGGGCATGATCAACAATTTTGATACTGAGAATAAGCAAGTATAGGATAAGATAGGATAGAATAGGAGCTGGCTCGCCTCGAGCAGGAGGTGAGCATTCACGACTATGAAAACGCCGAAAAGAATCTACTCGAGCTGTGCTTGGGCTGCACGCGAGAACAGACACTTCTCTTGTATACCTTCCTGTTTCCGGACTAAAAGAACGATTATGATGGAACTACTTATAAGACTGAGAGTAAGCAAGTCCTCTAGTCGTGAGGCTTTGAACACACTTCTCCTCGAAGTAGAGGCACGTCCAGGTCCTCGCATCCGCATTCGGCAATCGGTATAAAACATTTGTACTTGTTGTCGGTTCTAGATTTGACGAATGGACGCCAATCAAATTTATTTCGCCATGCAGATTTCGTTTCTTCCATTATCATCAGTGGAGTGCTTGTACATCTCACATAGTTACTCGCAACTATGATCGGCAAGTCTTAAATAAATTCCGAAGTGGACGAGCAGAAAAGTACTACTTAGACTTACTTAGAAGTCATGGCCACGATCATGGTGTTCGAAATAGTACTCCTACTCCTAGCCTACTGGAGTAACACTAGCCATAGCCATTGTAAGACAATTAAATGCATTTGCGCTTCTTTTCTTCATCAATAAATCACGGTTGCACTTCCACTTGTACTTGACTCGTACTCTACTTGAACTTGATTGCCAACATCAGTCAGGGCGTTGTAGTGAGTCTGTCAGAGGTATTATTAGTAATTGGTCAATGTTCCATCGACGTCACGCTATATTTAGATAGCTAGAGACTTGAGTATCGCTAGACGCTTGAGTGTCTATTGGTAAATAGTTGCAGATGGTTAGAGAATTGAGTGTATATCTTTTGCGCATAGTATCTTCTGCTGATCTAAGTCTAAACTTAGCAAAAAGCATGCACAAGATCTCCTAGAACAGCTAGGGCAGTATCATAGGATACATCGAATCATAAAGTATCTATCGATCCTAGAGTTACCAGGAATATATCAGAAAATGTACCAAATACAAATCTCTAATGACCTGTCAGCAAATCTCTAATGACCCGCCAACAACACTGAGGACTGAGTCAGATCTAGTATGTTCCATGACAGTCAAGTTACTTAAACTTAGGGCGACTCTTTAACTTGTTTGCGACCTCTAATATGCAGCTATTTGCTCCTTTCATGGCATCCAAGGCAATATCATAAATGTCTCAATTTAAGGGTGGTTTGTAATAGATTAGATAGGAGTGTACTTTCATCTTCGTCAGAAGTTGAGGTACTATTAGAGTATATTCTATCCATTTCAGCTGTAGTGAATAGGTATTCAATTCAACCGTGATCATTCAGTTCCCTATTGACTAATCCCCAGGAGTGGCCACTCATTCCTCGTTCGTGCGTAGGCTACTACTGGGCCTCGGGCTGGTCTTTTCAAAAATGGAAGAAGGCAAATTTATGACGGTACTCATTGCAATGGTGGCGGCCGATGGCTGTCGTGGCTGCCGCGCTCTAGAGAGCACACGCGCGTGGCCCCGCGCTTTTCTTTTCCTCAATTCTAAAAAAACTGCGCCGCCCGCAGCGCCGCGACCCAAAACCAGCCCGCCTCCGGCTCGTCTCCCTCATTTTCCTCTGGTGGAGGCTCTTCGCCCTGCGCCATGTCGAAGACGGCGAGGCGAGTCTTTTGCGCCGAAATGCTTAGAGCAGACGAACACCGGAGAGGCGTCGTCGCTAAAGTCATCCAATGGCGACCGATGGCAAAAAAGGTAGACCATTTTGGTGGAAGTAGATCTAGATGGCAATTTCAAATCGTTGGTGGGACTGATTTGAAAGTCTAGTTGAGGAAGTCCTTCAAAACATAGTTGAGGAAGTCGGTGGGAGAAGCCACTAGCTTTCTACTTCAACGAATACGCGTGATAGATAATGATGACCAACAAGTGTGAGGAAACAGTGGGACTTCAAACTGAGGGATAGGGATTTGGATCGAATGGGAAATCAATTTAGATGATTGTAGGTGAACAGTATACAACGTAGTCGGCGAATAATCAAGCACTTATATCCACAAGGGACAAACTGTAGTTTGTGTGGGATGAAGAATGAGATTATGAATGTTCCAAAAGAATAAGGAAGCCTAAGCATAGTGATCATTCCGAGCATTCAAGGTTCATCAAACAGTCAAGTCTTTCAAAAAGTTTTCATCATCATGTTGAATCTCTCGATGGTCCACATAATTTTCAATGTTGACAAGGTTGATTTGCCGTCATGCCCTCGCTATCCTGCTCCGGTGTGTAAAAACTTACACCTCAAATAGCTGTCTTTGTGAATATAATTGTCTCTCGGGGGAAAGACCGATCTGCTTCTTCACGTTAGGATCTTCTTCGTGATTACATTCGATTATTGTAGAAGAAGTTCCTAACCTTCACATATGACAGACTTATTGTGGAGGACCTCTAATTCACTTCGTTCCGACCGCGATTCCGTACGTCCTGAAGGACGAAGTTTACGGAGACACACAATGCATCCAAATCTAGTTGACTTGTACTCTCCTTAGACTTGCCAGACATCAAATCATATGCCAGAAAAACATACCACGTCGGGAATTCATTTTTTTGCTGCCGGTCTTCTTTCTAGTAACGAGTCTAACTTGGTCAATGCGTCTTTGGCTCCAAGGTCGTTTAGCAATAAGTAGTGTCCACATGCGACCGGAACACGCTTTTCTTCATCATCTGTCACACTTTTGTGAGCGCCAACGCGCTTTTCTTCGTCCTCCTCCGCATTCAGCCTCATGTCTTCTTCCCTGTGTCCCGCGATGGTCCGATAGCAAAGATCCTCTTCGTCGAAATACCAGCAAAGCGGATTGTCCTTCTTTTGAAGAAAAGCCCAGGTCTCGTCACCAGGATTGATGCGGATCAAGTGCGCCTGCCGACGGGAAGAGTAGCCTGTTGTATCTTGCGGCCCACCTCCTGCGGCCTCGGACTCGTGAAGACTTGTTGTGGGTTCTTCATTATTGATGTCCCAGACAAGTCCCTCTGCTTGACTCCGCACTGACGGAACCCGTATACCGCAGCCAATCTCTAGCACGACGACTTTCTTCTTCCCTTTTATGCGCATCCTGCGGTTCCATGCCTCGTACTCCTCTTCCTGCTTCCGCTCGAAGAGGTTCAATAACTCCATACAATTGTCGAAAAAGAGCATTACAGCAGGACGCAAATATTGTCGCCGTACAAAGTCGGATGAAGGTATTGAGTGACGAAATCGCGGACCGCCAAAGAGAGCCTCTTGTGATGCCAGACCCAAGCATCCGCCTGGCAGGGTAGGACTTGCATCCTCGCGAATGTTTCCCTCCTCCTCATCCGGAGCAGGTGGTCCAGCATCATTCACAAAAACAGCAGATTTATCATTCCGAAATCCCAAAGGCGGTCCCTGAAATTCCGCTTCCGCCGCAGAGACTGCTACACTTGGAGTACGTACGACCACGCTATTTTCTTCAGATCTCATCTCACTTCCACCCTTGTCTATTCCCATCTTGTTTTGCTTTCCTCCAGTTGAAGATTGTCCTCCTGCTTTGTCTTCTTCTTTTTCATCTATAATGTCAGCCTGTGCGCGTTCTTTTTTCACATCTTCTTTGTTCTCGAACCTCCAAAAGGGAATCCAGGGCCAAGCGAGAGAGCCGTGAATCTCGAGAACGTTCTTCCCGAGTGCTGGGAAACGATTGAAGTGGCCATCGATATTGCTGGTGTACACGTAGTGATGAGCATCTTGATCCACCTGTTGCGCATCTTGATTTAGAGATCGGGGCTCGGTGTTTCTTCTGTTTCCCGTTTGTTCTGCCTCTCCCACTACGGACAGGGTAGTTGTAAGCCATTTCTCCAAAATCCCGTAACCGGCATGGGGCTCTGTGCTACTGTAGAGATCTGCACTGTCCCGCCACCACCTGTTGAAAGCGTCGTAGTACTTTTTAGAGCTCGCCCTGATCCATCTCGAGAAGCGTCCCGCTTCCCTTTTCTCCTTGAAAGTCCATTTGGGGAAGATGCTTCCCAAGATGGATTGATTTATTAGGGGAAGCCTTAAATTTTGGACCTGTAGCTCCAGGGGAGCACAACTCAGTGTAAGAAAGGTTCCCGTATCGGGGGCCCATGGACATATCACCATATTCTGCAAAAGTTGGAAGTCCGCAGTCCTTCCCCATGCCGGCACCTGCAGCAATAACGAGGCAGTCACACTCTGCTAAGAGCGCCGCAGCACGTTGCCAAACGGGATCCCCAGTAATCATGTTCGCCGCGTTCATCTCTTTCTTCTTCAATGAACTATAGCCTGACGTTGAGCCAAGGATCGCGCTACTGCAGCTGACGTCTGATTCTGGCGCGCCTGTAGCCGCGCGTTTTGCAGGTCGACCAATCGCACACGCATCTCGGCAGTCGACGTCTGATTCTGGCGAGCCTGTAGCCGCGCGTTTTGCAGGTCGAACAGTCGCACACGCATCTCGGCCGCCTTCGCGAGCACAGACACACAAGCCCGCCTCCATGATTGGTATGAATTCGAATAGATACTCAAGAAAATGACTCTGCTTACTACCCTTATTGATGACGTGAATCTAGTCGGCAATCTACCTAAGACTTCAATGACTTCCCTGTTACTATATCATTTTCACGAATTAGTATGAGAAGTTTGCTCGACATGACTGAAGATGATGGTAGTCGATTCGGATTGGACCTACGCTCGAAATGACTACTACTATCTGAGTGATTTTCATTATTCATTCATTCTGAGTGATTTTCAAGGATTTTTTTGGTGCCTGGGTCTACGTTTCTCGCGATAAGAACATTTAATTACCCAGCGAGAAACCTGAAGTTTCGTTTGTTGTGAAGCGGATAGATCGTTTGTTGTCTCGGGTCTTACTTCACATCAACTTAGATCGGATGGACACGATTTTAGATGAGCAGCCTACGTAGCTAGTACCCAAATAATGATTTGAATCTATTCGGCAAGGTGCCTAAGCTAGTACCCAAATAATCAAGTATAATCAGGAAAGGGAGACACTGGTTGTGGGGGATGTAGAATGAGGATATAAGCGGGTAAACCTTAGATAGTCAAAAAAGTTCCACATGAGACGAAACAACCCCGAAACCAGGACAGTGCAATGAGGATATAAGTACATGTTCCAAAAGAATGGGTATCCAAGATTCATGAAACAAGTCTCTCAAAAAGTTTTCATCATCGTTTTGAATCTCTCGATGGTCCACAGAATTTTGAATGTTGTTGACAAGGTTGATTTACTGATGTTCACATGCCCTCGCTATCATGCTCCGGTGTGTAAAAACTTACACCTGAAACAGCTGTCTTTGTCGAATCTCGGAAAAACCGATGAGCTTTGATAGCTTCTCTCTCAAACGGCTTTGATAGCTTCTCTTTTGATCTGTAGTTCCTTTAGATTGATAATGCACTTATCATTCAAAGCAGATGTTTCAATAAGTGCTGCTCATACCATGAAAGTCTGGATCAATCACAGTTCACACTTTGTGAAGTGTTCAATGAGAAACTCCAAGTTCAAACTCACTGACGGCTGATGCAGAACCCTTGCTGCTTCAATAATTTTGAGCCTAACTTTGTACTACGAACGAGATACAACAGATTGCAAGTCACTTTGAATACTTTTTGGTTTACATCAGCATTCATTCATTACAGTCGTCGAAACAAACAGTAAATCCTTCAGCTTGATATCGTCACCACACACGTGTTCGCCTACTAGGCTTCATCAAGGATACTCATCCATATCTATGGGTGTGAGTGACATGCACCTGAGTGTTATTACCACATTTTCATCTTGCAAAAACCGAATACGATACATTGCAGAAGAGCAGAAGAACATTAGCCTTACACTTCATATAGAACCCTTCTTGCAGAGACTACATGATAGAACACTCAACCCCCAGCACCTGAAGTATTCATTTCCGACACTGATCTTGATTATATGTGTATTTCCTACTCAAACAAACCAGCAATCAGCTTCGCTAACCCCTCCGCGGCTTCTTGATCCGCACTGGTAAAGTCCGACTCCCCGTCCCCGTTATAGAGAGCCTTCCCTGTCAATTCGAGGCATCCCACTAATGGCAATGTGTCAGTGTCACCTGTCTTCGTTTGGCGCCCAGTAGTCGCTGATCTCGACTGCTCCTTTGCTCTTATCGGCACACACAGGGAATTAGAAGACAGAGCGTCCGGTGTCTACTCTGCAGTCAACACCAACGAGACCGTGCTCAGATTGCATCCCAAGTTGAAGCTGTCATTCTATCCTCAAGTGGCGGTGGCAAATCTACTTTTTGATTGTGATGTCGTAGTAGAAGATGACAGTTTCTAAGCTAAAAAGTCGTAAACCATAAGCAAACTTTTCCCAACCGCCCACACGCGATTTCGTTCTGCTCTATTAGCCCGAATTGTTTTCCCAGTACGGTAAACGTCTTCTGCAGCAGTTGCCTTGCCTGAAAAAGCCCTCCCCCAGTCAGTCCCCGTCGCCGCGCGTGCATGCAACTCAGCCTCCTCACGTGCGTTCTTTCGTGCGACGACTTCATATAGGACGCCCTGGTGAAAGTTGTAGAGGGACTTAGATCATAAAAACGACTTCATATAGGACGCCCTGGTGAAAGTTGTAGAGGGACTTAGATCATAAAAACGACTTCATATAGGACGCCCTGGTGAAAGTTGTAGAGGGACTTAGATCATAAAAACGACTTCATATAGGACGCCCTGGTGAAAGTTGTAGAGGGACTTAGATCATATCAACAGCTGAGAGTTTCGGTTTCTATGGAGGGACCATGAACAGACGACCGAAGTTCGGTTAGGTTAGGTTATGGATCCTGCACATCGGGCAGCTCCCCTGGCACAACAACGTCGGTTCCGAAGTTGCCAATGCACAACAAACAGACTATACTACTTCTAAGCGATGAAAACTTCTTCATGGAAATACCTGCTTCGCTCCTAGCACTTCACAAACCATCCGGAGCCATTGCGGAAGGAAGCTCATCTGCAATCGACTACGTCCCAGACGAGGACCCTCCGTTTGTCCTAGTGTCCCACCGTGGTCTTCTGTTGTACTTCTAGCGCTCTTATGGTCTTCTGTCCCACTTCTAGCAACAACCCTCTCACTTCCACTCCCATTCCCGTCTGTGCTTGTTGCACCTTTTGTCGTCGTTGCAGGATCTTCGACAGAAGCAGAAGTGGCGCACAGGTTCTTCGACACCAAAAACAGGCTCATGATCTCCAGCATCATTTTCGCACATCTGCTAGCAAATCGATCCCGTAAGGCTTCTCCCAGCAAAGCTTCTAGCACATCTTCGTTCTCTGGACGGCCCAATTGTGCGGATACTAGGGTATGGAAAAACTTAGCATGCTCAAACACGAAAGGAGCGTGAAGAAGTGATCCTGTTGGTGGATCGGTGCTACTCGCAACCAATGAAGAAGACGAAGCTGTTGTTGTGATGCTCTTTTGTTCGACTTTTTGGTCCTTGCTAGATAGTTTATTCGGGTCTGGCTCTAGCCCTTCCTCATTTGCCTTGTTCGTCGTCTCACTGGACGCCGGTCCCTCCATTTGCTCTATGCGAGTCGGAGCCTGAAAAGGTGGCTTTTTCCTTGGTCTCTGAATATTCTTGCGTGGTAATGGCTTCCAAGCTGCTGGTACATCTTTCTCCTCTGAGATTAGAGCCTTTATGTTAACTGAAACTTCTTTGATTTAGCTGTTCCTCGTTGGAACAATACAGTAGGCTTACAATCTGTTGAGCTCCTACTTTTACAACATGCAATCAAATAAAACAAGTTGTTAATGTCACTGGCCTTACCAAAAGAGTAGTTGTGGTTCCAGCAAACGTCCCCGACTGTAGACTTCTGCCAGTTCGTGTCCCTATCCTCGTCTTCTGGCCACTCTGCGGACTTCTGAAAGACGAACTGGTAGAAGTTCCAAAGTGGGTGCCTCCAAGAAGTTCCAAAGTGGTTGAGCGCTCTTGCACCACAGACCTACCACTCGAAGGTCGTATCACTGTTGACGCGACTCCAGAAGACGCAGGTGACGTGGCTGTTACAGGTATTATACCAGAACCAGATAGAGTCGTCGTCGTCGTCGTCGTTGTTTTCACCCGCTGCCTCAAAGCCTGTGTCAGTTCCTTCAGTCTGCTGACCTGTTCCTCCAAAGACGCGATAGTATCCTTTTGTGCTGCAACTGTTCGCTCTTTCTGAGCCAGTCTGGCGCCTAAACGGGCAGCGGTTTTCTTGTCGTTATCGTCTTGCCGCAAAGTGTTTCCTGCCAGAGGGGGAGGACTCCTTGTACTGGCTTGCTCATCTGACGACAAAAGCTCTTCCTCATCTTTGGTACGACCAGAGGATTCCAACGAGCGTAGGTCATCGAGCTCTGCCGGATGTGGAGGTGGAGGAAGCCGAGACGACATTTTGGTTGTGAGTAAGTGGTGACCTCTATTGGTGGTGCCTTGAATCTTTAGGGAATCTCGCTACGATAAAGATATACTACTCCTCTCTAGCGTAGGTGTTATAAAACTCCTTCTTTTTGTTCAAGTCGGCACCGTTCGAGCCTCTCTTTCATCTTCGCCTGCTCATCTCTCGAGTAGCCGTCTCCATATTTTCACCAAAGTGTCTTCAGTTTTTTATCCGTAATTGAAAGCTCTTCTAGGGACGTCATTGGCGTACCTTCAGCTCGCTTCCCAAGTCTGCCTGACTGCTTTAACTCAAGATTCTTCATCTTTATCTAAACTTTCATTGGGTTCACGATCTTGCGAAAGGTAAGATTTATTCGTTCTTGTTGTTCTTGCATACTAGATGCTTTTCCTGTTCTTTTGGGCAGGGAATGCTGCCAGTGGTGCTGTATCGGTCCAAACATGAATAGCAGGGATCCATGCTCCAACGTCTATTAGAGCTCATCTACTGTAGTTCATCGAAAATATATTTCTATTCTAGGGTTCATCTTTTCTTTACAGTAGTCCTTTACAGTTACCCTAGGACTGTGCAGAAAAGGGTGCTATCGATGTGAAAAAGAAAAAATAAACCCTGCTATGGTCTCTATCTAAGCCAATCAGAATGATGCAGCAGAAAATTAATATCATCAAACCTGCAGCCCTAATTCAATGTCCACTTTTCTTTTTCCGATATTTTCCGTCGAAATACGAAGTCCCTTTCGCAACCTAGACTGACACTTGCTATCGCCGGATCCTTGCCATAAACAGCCTCATCATCACTGTGCCAACCTTGAGAGTCCGTCAACGTTCGGTAGCGATTCAGTAAGACACTGTTGAACTCTATTGGGCGGCTGGCATCTTCTATGTGCTGCACCTTTGATGACAAAGTGCGCTTGCTCAGATTGTCCGATGAAAAGAATACGCTTAAAATCCGCTCAACTTCTCGTTTGACCTCCGCCACCACTTTAGGACACGTGGCTCCATCAAAGGGCGCCCTCTGCAAGAGACGCCCACTGTATTTGTAGCTGTGCTCTCCGAAGTAACAAGTTAGTCTTGTTAGAGTCTGCTAGATTGCATCTCGGCCCCCTCATCTTGACCCCTTTTACCTTGTATTTCACGAGAATTCAAGGGAAAAGGGGACCAAGATGCCGAGAATGATGGACACTAAATGTTGACCATAATCTTGGTTCCGGTATCTCTTTCCCGAATATCTTAATCGCGCCTTGAGCCCACGGACACTCGGACAAGAGTCTTTGAAAACATTGATCTGGCCATTTGGAGGTTGAACTGTTCTGAATTGCGGAAAAGCCTGACAAAGAAGAAGAAGAGGAATAAGAGGAATAAGAGGAAGATGAACTGGTTGTCCATAGTGCTTTTGGTAGATACAAAACGCTGCTTCCATGATCGTCGAGGACTGTGATTTGGCCAGGCTCAATGCTCTTGTTGGTAGACTGGACGCAGCTTTTTCTGGACGTAGCTTTATCTGTCGTTTTGCGAACGACTTTTGCCGAAGTAGAGGAAGTTGCGGACTTCATTTTGTAGTTTTCGTCTGAATGTAAAAAAGATGACTAAGGCTAAGCTTCCGAATTGGTTGGAATGAGTATCGCAGTTTTTTCTTTACGCTCACAAATATAACCTGTATCCAATTTTCGGAAAGATAGTCGTCCTTTATCGTGGCGCGAACAACATCATAAGTGTAGAGCAGAGGCAGAACAAGAGCACGTTGCCCTTAGCAGCGTACACGACGTTTTTTATGCAGTATGATCAGGGTGAGGCAGCATGGATGTATCACCTTCATGATACTCATTCGAGAGAATGGAATGGATTTGCCACGAGACAAAAATGGAAAAAGAACTATGTTGGTTTTGTACCAGCAGACACATTCAATGTCATTGACATTTTCATAGTCCATTATCGTGCTTCACCAGAAGTTTACATTAATCATAACACAAGCGTTGAGTACCATCGTCTCATCGGATATCGTACCACCTCGCACCTTCTGCTTAAAACAACCTCATGTTCGCTTTTGTTCCGCAGCGCCCCAATGGCAATGCATGAGTCAATAACAGGTCGACTACTACTGTCAATAGTTGTCAAACGACCTAACTAAAACCTCTTATGCTCTTGCTTCTGAAAGTGGGCTACTGAAATAGAAGTACAATCTATTCTTCTCATTAATTTTGCAGATGATCATCTCTAAGTGATGTTATCAATACAGAACTGCTCTGAGCGATTAGTTAAATGAGCACGAAATTGCCGTCAAAGAGGATGGGCCCAATCGTTACTATGCCACCTCTTTGATGACATGACAGAGCGAACATGATACAAGAGCAACCTCTTACATGCAGGTCCAAACGTCTTGACGAATAAAAAGCATCATGTTACTTAAGTTCGTGTACTGGACTCCAGGTTCCGACAAAAAAAGAAGGACATCTCATCTCAATATCAGAAACCAACGAGATCTTAAAATTATTCACTATCTATTTGACAGACCATAAAAATCTACACCTCAAAAATAGGACCAATTATCTTCTAGATCCAAAACTACAACACCTTCGTTTAATATCATATCCATCATTGAGATGTCTTTGTAACTTCTGCTTCTCATCGTTTGGTTTACATTAGGATTTTCCGTCGACGTCGTATATGAAGAGAAGTCCCCTAGTTGTCTACGAAGAGAACAAATTTTTTATTTAATTACGAATTGTTCGCTTCAAGATTCCCTTTCTCCACCAGCAGCTCCTCCCGCAACATCCCCCATCTCGACATCTCTGGCCTCTACATCTGGACTACAGCCACGATGGACGAGGAGAGCCTCACCACCATACGGTATCTCAGATGTAGTGAAAGCTCCTTGTTCGCACACAAAAGCATCTTCGCCCGCGAATACAATATCTTCGCCGTGGACGGACTCCCCTGCACCGACTGTGCTTGGCAAGCATGAAAAAGAATATGCTTGGGGATCGGGTACAACCTAAAACCTGTTCGGGCAATGCAATTGATAATTTTCACAATTTGTGTACTAAGTATCATTGATCGTTCGGACAAAATGAGACTTTTCTTCATACGAAGTTAGAAATCTTTGATTCTGAACAAAGGTCATAAAGCATGGCTAGCAGCCACTGAAGCGACCGGAAAATCCATCGATGATCTACTGGTGCAAACATCAAACGACGTTGGCGTTCCCGCAGCTCTTGGTGTTCCTGCAGCATTCGCTGAGTTCATCACAACGTCGTCCCTAGAAGTGCTGCCTTCACTTTCCGACGATGGAGCAGGGTGAATACCACTGAGTGATGTAATGTCGTGATCTCCAGGTGTACTGCGCGGTAACATGTAAGAGCCGGCGGCTTCTTCAAGTGGTACCTCAACGTAAGAGCTTGTTGAGGAGCAAACCGACATGCTGGTGCCAGCACTACAAAGTTCGGGCGTTCCGGTGTGCTCATGCTGTTCTTGGATGGTAGTCGGGGCAAGAGAGGAAGGACCAGCAAGAGAAGCCCCATCAACTGCAGTTGTGGTCTCTTCAGCGACGACATCATGAAGAGGCTGATCATGGCAAACTGTTGCAGTGGCAACATGTGCTTGTTCTGTGTTCGTCTGTGCTGGTGGACACGAAGAGAGCAACATTTGTTCTTCTCCAGAAGCCTGAGGACCACTCTCAGCCGAGGTCTCCAATACAATCTTCGAGCCGTCTTTCACCGTGAGCTTTCCGATACCTTCCAGCAATGCTTCCATCAGTTGTTTTTGACTACTGTTTGCCGGTAAAGCGGGTGCACAGAGATCAGGAATGGCTGTCATTTTCATTTGCTGCTTTTCGGTGCTCTCCTCTGCTCCCGAAGAAGATGCAGACGGTACATCTGTGGAAGTAGAAGGCAGATATTCAGGTCCATTTCGGGGCACCTCCGTCTTCTTCCCACAAGACGTCGCCCCACCCGGCCCTCCCAAGAGATGTTGTACAGCCACCTCAGTAGTTGGCAGTAGTTGATGTCTTTGTCCTGTAAGCACAGGAACTCCCATCACAGGTTCTTGTTGCTGTTGCACATGGTATGGTTCAGGACTCAACGTCAAAGAACCTCCTCCACGCGGCCCAGCACTCCCAAGAGATGTTGTAGTGGTACTACTAGGTGGTAAAGCCAGTGTGTTTCTGCGTGACTCCGTTGCGTCTCGAGACGCAGCTCTGACGAGGTCCAGTAGACGGGCTAGACAACATTGACGTTGCTCGCCGTTGTTGTTTTGGGGACTATTTCCACCTCCATTGGCAGATACTCCATTGGCAGCTCTATCTCGGTAAGCAAGACGTCGATCCACGAAGAAGCGGCGACATTGCTCCACACGAGGACGCGTAGCATCCCATATTGTAGTGCACAAATGCTGCTGAGGACCGATTAGAATATTACCACGCGAGGATGTTCCAGAAGATGTGCCAGAGCGTTGCTGACCACTTAAAAGAGCACGTCGTTGTGCTGCTCGTGTTCTCACACGATCACGCAGTTCACGAAATCTCGTGACAGAGCGTTGCACACACGGCGAAGCGCGCACACGCTCTGCTGTGGTACGACAAAACGTCGCAACCCGATTCATATTATTGACGCAGTTTTCCCGTGCCTGACGACGTACAGCCGGATCGTTATAGCGTTCGCGCGTGCGTTGCAAGAAGCGTCCAGCGCGGCTTTCTCGTGTACGACCTTGTTGTAGACACTGAAGAGCACGATCTCTACAAGAGTTGTAACACTGAGCAAGACAAGCAGGTGGCCGCACAACAGTGCTGCAAGAAGAGGATCGCGTACCAGCAGTAGTGGAGCGAGTAAATACCCTACTGTCCTCTTGAAGATCACTTACAGTAGAAGTTACAGTAGAATATCCAATAGTCGGAGTAGTGCTCCACACCGCCGCAGAGCCACCAGTAGAGGGAGGAGGAGGCAATCCCCAGTGGACTTCGCCACCAAAGCACATAAAATACGGTTCTCCAACGTGGTCCAGAGTTACTGTCCCTTGTGGGCCTTTGGTAGCAGAAGAGGTGCCTCCTCCTGAAACCGGTGTAGTGGTCAGCATCTCAGCTTGGGCTTGACTATAGTACTGACCAGAAGAAGATGAAGTTTCTTGTGCCTCTTGCTGCACACTACCTTGCTGTTCTTTTACAGTGGTGGCTCGCTCACGAGTGGCCAAGAGCCCTTGCTGCTCTTCTACAGCGGCTGCCTGCGGAACTGCTCGTTGCACCTGCAAACCGTTCACAAGTAAAAAGGGACCTGCCAGCAGAAGTAGTGCCATCGCACAACCGCAAAGAGAACGTGGAGAAGATAAGGCCAACATCATTGTGATTGGAGTGGCCCTAGATAATTTATGTCCTCACGCGTAGTTGTAGAAATATGTTGAAATAAAAAATGTACCAGTTTGAACTGTGAGGACAAGACCTCAAGAAGAGAGAGTGGTCTATATAAACAAAAACTAATCTTGTTCAATGTGGAACGATATTGTCCTCCTAAATTTGATGGATTCTTGAATTGTACAGCAAGTTTTTCGAGTAAATGGACTCAACATGATACCAAATCTAAATCTCAGATTACGACGTAGAGTGTCTTACAAGAAAACTCAGCGTTCGTGATGTGTAGTGGTTTGATTCAAGAATCCTCTTCTTTCACACAAGCGCGTTCTACATCAGAGGAACACCCTAATCAAACGACGAATAATAACGCACTGACCGCAACATGCCGCCACGCCATGTCGCAGCACGAAGGACAACATCTTCGTGCCTTAGTTAGTAATTATGCCTAACTTGGGGAATATACTCTTCCATCACCTCTGGTTGAAGGTAAGCCTCAGGCGGAGGCTTTGGGCCAAAAGGAGGTCTTCTTGTTTTCATTTGCTGTGGATTTCTTTGCAGTATTTCCAGACTGGACTGATACTGATTTCCACTTCGATTTCTGACACTGTCACTATATTCACCTGCAGCTCTTGTATTTTGATCTTCTTCAAGGGTGTTTGAGTGTTGACTCTTACGAAGTGAAAGCGACACACGAGAGCCGCTACCTGTTGATGTCCGCATTCCCGTCGAACTTCTTATTGCTCCTTCATTCAGTCCTGTGCCTCTATTTTGTTGCTCACCGCCTGAATTGGTAGCAACAGTAGGCGCCACAACATGCAGAGTCAGCAAAGTTTTTTTTTTCTCTTGCCCATAACCTACATCTTGATCATCTTGCCAATCAGTTTCCAGACACCAAGCATTCGTCTGAAACAACCGAGAAGAAGACTCTCTACTAGCAGACGTCCTACTCAAAGCGTCCTCCTCGTCCACAGCCGCATAGAAACTCCCACGACGTGAAGAACCCAGTAGTTTGCTTCCCCTCATCCCACCACCAGCACGCTGAAACAAAGCGAAAAAATCGTCTAATGGCACAAACGTCTCTCCCAACAGCGCATCCCCATTTTGAGAGTCCTCTTCCCATAAGGAGACAATCACTACTTTCGTCTCCTGCAACAAAGAAATCGGCAACTTTAACTGCACGTGGAACACGCAGTCGTAGTGCCTGGTGAGTGACGTGGAGGCGTTGAAGAACTTATTTTGTGTTACTTGTTTTTCGTGAGAGAGCGAATGAGTCATCTGTCAGTGATTCTGTTAGACTGTAGTACTCTTTAAGCAACGTCAAATTGTTGAAAAATAAACAGCATCTATTGTCATTGTCGTACTTCTTCCCCTCATCCTCGCCTCTCCCAACAGCTAGTTGTCTTGGTTGTGGATTGCCTCTTCGTCCTGCCTTAGGTTGCCTTCTTTGCATTAAAAAGGCGTCAAAAGGCTCATGTGGGTATCTTGCGCTGACGTAATACACATGTGAAGTTCGTGGATCGTTTTCCGAACCTACGTGGTAATCAGCGACAATGTTCAACGCAGAGTCGACATTTATCAACAAGCTGGGTCCCTGCAGAGACGAAGCTGATGGCATCGAGAGACCAGGTACGCTCAACGGCACAGACGCTACACTAGTCTTGGATATTGAACGGAAACTGCTTCGCGTCGGGCGAATAACGGCGTCGTCATCTTCGGTATCAAGCATCGTACTGGCGGCCGTGTAGACTCGGATAAAAAGCATTACTACCTTGACGACACCAGGAAGAACATGTTATTAGGCGACAGGTGGCCGGAGAACCAGGTCATGTTTATTCCTCTTTCATGCACGTTGGTTGCGTGAGTTTAGAAGATAATGCTGTAGTTGCACGAGTCTATCGAGAAGAAATCCACTCAAAAATTTCACTTAGCCTCTTTCGTTCGGTCGCTTTTCCAGAACTGTATACACCACTACACTCAATCGACAATAGTGCACAGCAGCTTGATCGCCGTGAGATGAAGTGAGCCTCTTGCGAGAGGCCGAAAAGAAACACACATCGCCACTACCTCAGGACACTCTCATGCGGTCAGAGAAAGATCCCCAACATTGGTCGTCGCCTATCTTCAACTTTTGAGAATTGAAAACATTAACATGGAAGACGAGTGCTTAAAAAATATAGGAGATGATCGTGGGATGGAATATCTCATGTTTCTGGGGTGCTGGGTGTCGCTATAGGGATAAGGTTGGTAGTACAGGGATGTTCACATTGATTTCTTTTTGTCTACACAACTAGAGGGTATAAAAAGCACTCTAAGGTCCTCGTAGGATCCACAGCTTTTCTCGAAGTACAACTAGGAGTTCAACAAGTTGAGAAGTCCTCTTTTTACTTTTAGAGCCCGCTTTCCCTTTCCTCCAAGCATCTTCCCCTTCCGAGAAAAAACAAAACCTCGAGAAAATTCTTTACCAGGATCCGGTTCCTCTCTCGCTGCCTGGCTTCATCCACGTCTTGTGCTCCCAGAAGGTCTTCATCCTGTACGGGTCCTCAATTTTGACGATCTCCTTTCCGGTCTTTCCCTGCCTCGCGAACGCCATCTGGACTTCGCAGCTCGCCTTGCAGTCTCGGTAAAACAAAAGCTCCAAGCATTCCTGGACGACGCAGATTAGAGTTTGAGATCATGGGAGAGGGGAAATGGGAACCGGAGGAGAGGAGACGTGGTTGGTGGATTGTCATTTTGAAGAAGGAAAGTGATAGAGATTCGATTCAACTATCAGCTAGAGCTATCTATCATTCAAAAACTCAACGAAGTATCGAATTATCCCATCCAATCCCATAACACACGCGCTTGTTCCTCGGTCAAGGTTTTCCACTTTCCGTTGTCGCAGTGTTTACGCAAGATCGGCATTGCAAGGTGCAAACCAAACCCAGTCGCAAGAAAATCCTCTTCAAAGCAGGTTCCCTGCAAGTCTACATATCCCAGATGCGGCTCACCGTTGGGCTTGATGCCGCCGATGACAAGCTGTTGTGAAGCGAGATTGAGGGTGAAGGAGAAAAATGGAGGACAACTACATGTAGATTGCGCAGATGTCTGATATTGAAAAAAAAAGTACAAGGATATCTTTAGAAACCGACTGACACAAGAGAATTTTTTGCCACAATATGAAGTACTAACAGAAGATAAGAAAAATCGAATCACAGATTATACCTGATTCCAAAGCGGGTCTCCTTTACTTCGTCGGTTGTAATACACTCTTCCAAGAAAGCTTCCCAACTCCTTCGGGCCTCGTCGACTTCCATCTGTGGAAGAAGTGGAAAGAAGAATCGACTTTTCATTAATCGGCTTTGATAAATGGATGCTTTTTCGTATATTAATTTGGAAATAAGTCTAGTGAAGATAATTAAAGTAAAAAATATCTTCATTTATAAGCCTGTTGCTAGTACACGTTGTCTTTTATCATACCTTGTTCAATCCAATCCTCCTCGTCCACATCGTCTAAGAGGTGTTGCAAGTGTTGAAAATCGGAGTATTCGCCACTGCATCCCACTAATGTACTGTCGCCAGCCTGATGGATTCTAGGCACTCCGGGATATTTCAGACTATTTCCGTAAGCACACATGCGGTCACCAGCGATGAGGACGCCATCTGAAAATATGATGATGATGATATACCCAGTCCTGAGACGGGTATGCATTTTACTACTAGGAAGGAGGGATATTTAGGGAGATAGAGATAGGGAGATAGAGGACATAGATAGAAGTATTTTAAGCTGTATTTTTTTTTGTATATGTTTTGAAAAGCAAGAGGCGATGTGGAGTTTGGATTCTTTCGAGTGAGGTTATTACCAGTATGCAAACTAACATCAACAGGATCATTAGCAAAAAAAAAAAATTGTGATCCTCGGAGTAGGCAAAAACTTACCTTTGTATTTGATGCCGATAATGCTCGCACCCGTGGTAATCGGCTGCGACGTGTGTTGGATCACCATCTTTTCGAAAAAAAAAACCGGTCGTGTCGTCAAAAGATATTCTAGTTTATTCAGTCACAAAAATAATTCCGTGAACGATCATAGAGAAATGAGATGCTTCATCCAAAAATCCTGCGAGAATCGGAATACAATAAGTTTGGAAGAGTATTAGCTTGGTCAATTTTCCAAGGCACATATTATTCTTCGCATGGACCGACTCTTTCAGATTGGAAATGATCGAGGCTTTTTCTTTCAGGTAACGTCGCTGGCTGTACATTTATAAAACGCATCTTCTCAGTTTATCAAGCGCATTTTAGGGATAGGATAGGAGTGGGCTCACTTGTGACGGAGTGAGCATATAGGCTAGATATGCCATCAAATGAACCGAAGCATGCGAGAGCTCCCACCTCATCATGATTCATATAATACCGTAGTCTCGCAAGGAATCATTCGCGTCTACCATCTTTTCATTTCATTCCAAAGTCTTCGGCTAAAGGGCCAACGCACCAGCTGGGGTGGGCGCAGAGAAGTCTGACATTTCACGGACAAGAAAGATGCGCCGACCCGGCATGGTCAGGTAGATGATTCACAACAGCGTCATGTCCACCAAGACATGCAGATTCATATCCACCAAGAGGAGAGACTGACTTAATTCATGACCATCTTCTACTGAATTCATGACACAGTAAACAACGCAACGCTTGTCATAATTCTGAACACCTCCACTTCATTCTTTTGTACTTGCCAGTGAATCTGCGAAGAAATGAATCACATGTCGAAATTAAAGGAAATTTCTCACAAGCCTTTGCTTGATGGAAAATATTTCGTTTGCTTCGGGGTCCTCCGTAACAGGAATCGTTGTTTTGGAGGTACTAAGATTGTGATTGAACGAGAGAGCGGTAAACGCTTGTGAAGAAGATAGAAGAAAATATTAGAAGAATTGGTGAAGATCTGACGAAGTCTGTCAACGAGAAAGAAGAATTTATTAGCTGCCGAATAAATGGCTCTGTGCTGTACTACTAGTACAGCGTGCTTCTGATCGTATTTGCTGCTTCTTTTTGCCACTTTAGGGACGATAAGCGACCTAGTTACAAAACCAAGAAAGTGTTCTATCATACACACAGGGAGACAGAAAAAAAATTTTTACAACAACAGATACTCTTATAGAAGCGACCTCACTTGAGGCAGCAATCGCTATTAGAAATGGGTCTACCAGTAATTGATTACTAGGAAACAGAAGGGGAATCGGGAACAGGGATGTAGCTGTTCGGTGTTTGTTACGAGGGCTGATAGGGTGTGCTTGAGCTTAAATCAAGAAATGGCAGGATACTAAGAAAAAGGGTGGTCAGGAAAATAAAAAGTAGTCAGCATGCAGTGGACTCATTAAAACCACATCTATGAATCACCTGCTGAAAAAACATGAATTGAATTAAAGCGTGAGAATTAGACTATATTATGCTTTCAGTGTGCACAAGATGATGCGATGAAATCAATCTCGCTCACAAACCTCTTTTTTCAGCTTGCCGCTGTAACGCCCTGCTCGGTCTCGTCGTAGAGTAATGCGTGTAGCGCATCGCCTGCCGTATATACACGCGTGAGCAATTGTTTCTCTACAAACATGACCCGCGCAGACCGATCGCTCAGGACGAGCGGCAGAAGATCTCGCAATGTGACCACCGGCTTCCCTATCACCGTTGCTACATAATCTAAGGGACGCCCGTTCTGATGTGGGATCGTGATTGTGATGTTATCTTGGAGCTATTGTTGTAATCATCAAACCAGCTGAAAAATTCCATCTCAGCGGCGAAATAACAAATACCTGCAACATCAAAGCCGCCACTTTCCTCGTAATCTATCTAGAATAAAGTACCTGCAATAACGCCGTCACTTTCGTAAAGCTCGGGTCTAAAAACGAGTGCGACCCTGGCCACAAATGCTGTGGTGGTAAGTTCAGCTGTCTTTGTGATTAGAGAAAGACGTGATTGCGAAAGATGCATTCCGACAATTGTCATCCGAAAATGCTGCTCAGCTTTCTAGAACGCCTCAACATTGTTGGAGGCAGTAGTACTATGGTCTTGATGTCTCTATACATCTCATCTAACATGATTAGCCAAGTCCAAGATGTTTCTAGCCATAATTCACAGCAATTACTAAGTTGTAGAATAGAAAAAAAAATCTACCCATAATTCAATTGATGTTTCTGCGCTCTTACTAAGACGTCGAGCACCTCTTTCACCGGGGATGCTAGGTTGAAGATCAGCGGTTTCTCCACAAACTGGTCCAGTGCGTCCTGCATGCACAAGTCTAGATACTGCAAGACTTGTCTCCTACTTATTGCGCCCACTAGGACATATTGCGAAGACGAGGAGCCACCTTCTTGTGCAGTTCTTGCAGATGTTGGACCTGTACTACTGTGTGCAGTTGTAGAAGTAGGCAAAAGATTCCCTGACGAGGAACTGCTAGTAATCTTGTTCCCACTAGTCGGGTTGTTGTCGTTGGCGTTGCTGTTATCATTATCATTCTTGTTTGGGCCTCCTGCATCCTGCGTTCCCGAGGACGTTGCTGATGATGTGCCTGCGGTTGCACTAGCAGTGGGGGAGCCTTCGGGCACTGCCGCTATTGCTTGTGGGCTACCGACAGAGCTAGGAAGTTTCCCAGGCTCTTGTGTTCTGTCTGTAGCATCTGGGGACCGACCGGGTGATACAGACATGAAAGGACAATGCTGGTAGTCCGCGTTCTAGACACTGAGTTGCAATTACTGGAGATCAGCAGTATAATCAATCATGTCTAGTTGTTGTATCTACCCTCCAGCTACTCGCAACTTAACCATAATACATCATGATCTTGCAATAAGCAATTATCAGACAAACTTCCAACTACAATCTCAAATGCCCCGATCCACCGTAAATGCCACCTGCATCTTTGTGACAACTGGAAGCGCCGTCAAATCTTCATTGGAAGAGAAAAAAGCTAAAACATGCTCCAAGGCTGTCGTATCCTGCACTACTGTTATCTGTGTCCCACCTGGGTCTACTGCGCCACTTTTGCCATTTCCAGTCTTGCTTTCTGAAGAATTAGAACGCAGAAAAATAAGACTAATAGTTCTGTCCGTTTTTCAGCTTCTGTGCAATGGTGATAAATCATTTTCAGTGGTCCACGATATTATTGTTGATTTTCTCACCATTAGATGGTTTTGCGCTTACCTAAATGTGGAAATCCGAATGAAAATCATTAATGCAGCCATATCAGCAGTTGTCCCCGTCGTTGGTGAGTTGCCATCATCGACTGGTGTACCTTGTGTTGAACTGGTGGTGCTAGTTCCGCCAGTTGTGCTGTTCTCCTTAGCACCTCCAGCTGCTTTTGCACCAGCAGTAGTTGCTCCGGGACCTGCATCGCCGCTTGAAGATGTCTCTTGCTGTTGGTCACCTGCTGTTGGCGCGCTAGTACTTGCTGAGCCTGCACCAGGAGTGCTTGACGCCTCTACTGTATTTCTTGTTGAGCCACCTTCTCGCGCTCCTCCTCCTTCTCCTGTCTTCGCGTCTTGTCCTGTTACTGACTGTAAGTCCCCACTGCTCGTTGAACGTGCGTGACGCTTTACTACCCTAACACGCCAATCCTGTGACTGACCTGTACTACCTCCGTATCCATTATATTAAAGCTCAGCATTCAATGGTCATTGATGCTGAACGGAAGAGACCCCCTTCTTTCCCTTCGTTTTCCCCTGTTGTCTCAAGGGGTCGCCTCTTCGATCTCAGTGACCAACCCCAATCTCAATGGTGACCATTGAAAGTTGAGCCTTAATTATAAGTAGTGCCTTTGTTGGTAGTCGGAGAACCAGAAGAAGAACTTCCTCCAGTAGTACTACTGGTGCTTCCTCCACCTCCGCCGTTGTCGCCTGACGGTCTTTTTTCGCCGACAAATCGATAACTCAATTCCTGCATCGCGCTATTCGCAGCTCTGCTTGCACGAGAATATTAGAGGAGCGTGTAGTAGTAGTAGTAGTAGTAGTAGTAGTGTACCCAATCGTGGGGTATGGAAGATATTTTAATTAGTTGACAACTACTCGAACGACGAACTCTACTTCGGCCAGCGTCATATTCAAATGCTCGTCCAACAGGATTAGGTAGAAGCTGCTTATCAATAACTTGAAAAGACATCTTCATAACTGACTTCTCCCATCCCGCCACTACTTGTAATCGATATGTCGCCCAAGGGTGCCATTTCTGGACTCCTCACATGTATCGCTGTATACGCCAACAACTGAGCTAGTGTTACGTGTGCTACTACTGTGGCGCGTTCTGGATTTACTATTGGAAGCGCATTCAAGTCTGGAAACTGGAGGAGTAATTAGAGCTTGCCAAAAATTAATTCAATGTTTGAAAGCCTGATCTCCTTGCAGACGTGCTTTCTCCTTACAGAAAGGAGCAAGAAAAGACAAGTAGTTCTCGAAGTAGCTTCTGGACTCCTCACATTAGGTAGAAGCTGCTTCAATAACTTCAAAAGACATGCAAGCAGCCGTAAAGCAACTCGATCGCTCGCAACACTGTGGATTCTTTATCATCTACGCAGAGTATCGGCCGTGCTGGTGTACTCTCGTCGACATGGTAAACGACGACTTTGCTCGACGCACGCTCTGATGTACTGGAGGAGAGTATGAATGAGGAGAGGGTGTACTTAGCTAGTACCGCGATCCACCAAGTCCCGTTTCACCTAGTTGGAAGAGATCAAAGTTTTTCATCGATATGCAGGAGCTTCGATATGCTAGTTGAAAAAGGATTTACTCAATTATAGTCGTGTATGTTAACATGATTTGCCCTACATATTATTTTTGATGCAAAGCCTTAAACAACGCTGTTGGTAAGCTCTTTTGCTTACTCGAACTTGAACTTTCGGACCCGCCAGTGACCTGCGATGGCCTCATCTCCGAAGCAGCTGTACTCCCAACAGCACTACCTCCACCCACATTAGCTGCACTTCCACAACTCGTCCCTGCCTTACTAGCAACATTGCTGCTAGATCCTGACCTCTTCTTCGCGTGCCAGGAACGCCATTGCTCTAATGAGTAGTTGGACAATTCGGGTCGCCGTCTCAGTTCCGTCAAAAAACACGCCACTTCCCCAACCGTCAACGGCTGTATCAGCCGACACTGGCTTTGATCTTCGACAACGGAGATTACCGCGGAGCTATTTTTGAGTGATCAAGATATGGTGATCATTACCTTACTATGGGTACTAGAAGATACAATAATTTAATTACCAAGTACTTACTCAAAAATAAGTTTTTCTTGACTCTCTTTTTCACTAGAACGAGTTGTACTAGCATCTTGCCTTCGCGTTCTTGTTCAAAAAAACCTTTTATAAGGAAAGACGAGAAGCACCGCGAAGTCAATACGCATTCGCACTTGCCAGCAACTGCGATTGGCACACGGGGGTCGAAGTCCGCTTGCGATGCTGTGTCGTAAAAACACCCACTTCAGACAAGACATTACTCGGCAAATACAATCCAGGACTACCAAGGCCGGCGGAATCCGCTAGAAGCTATTTTTTGATTGTCATAGATTGATAGATAACAATCAAATTCAAAATTATATCTTTGAATGTCGGTAAGCACTTCCCTCAAAAATAATGGTTTATACACGACGTTCGATAAGAAATACCAAAATACTTTTTTCATCGATCGATTTTCAGAACAGCAAAAATATTAACATCACTTCTAGAAGAATTTCGTAATACATGTGGTTGCTGTTCAGCCGCTGCGTGCCGACTGCTGTCTGGCGGCGACCACGAGGACGCATGATGATGCCCGTACTCCAATATGGCGCTGATGACCGCATGAAACTTCAGTTAGAGGTCGTACGTGCAGTTGCAGACGAGCTACAAAGAATGAAAAAGAAGGGAAACCCTAAGCCCATGGCTGGTAAGAGAGAAAAAAACCATTCCTGGTAAGTAGCCTGGTAGTTTTTACAAGTGGCTATGAGATAGCACCTCAACATTTTCTGATCATATTTCTGACAGCACCTAAACATTTTCCGATCATATTTCTATGTTCGTTCCTATTTCTATGGTCGTCACTAATATCATAATTCAAGGAAACGTCAACTGTCACCACGTTCCCACGCTCCACTAGCATATCCAGAATATGAATCTGGCCCCTGATGTCGGATAAGCGAAAGATCATACATCAAACTACAAAGCAAGAGAACTACCCAACGACCAACAAAAAAGGGAATTCGGAAGGGACTAAAGGACCCAGGATCTATTCCACGTTGCACGCGAGATTCGTAAGAATTATTTGATGAAAGAAGGGCATCATCTTCAATTTCACCTGAACTACTTCTACGAAAAGATAATACAGAAATTCGCGCAAGTATCGACGTGCGCGAAAGATCCGCTTCCGGTGACTTTCTTCCATCTTCCGCAACCCCGCGTCTTCGCGGGTCTTTTCTCTAATGTCACCTTTTCGATATCATCTTCACGTGTTGTGTCGCGGCTATTTTTTCCTTAATCACGCACCACCCGCACGTTGTTGCGCCTATAGTGGAGCTTTGTCTAACGCCTCAAGCCGCAACATATTTTTGGGAAGGCCAGCGAGTTGTCCTTGTTCTGGGCATCATCTTTTTTGAGGTGTTCATCAATTACGAATTGGACCATCAAGACTTTTTCAAAAACTTTTATGAAACAATAGTACTTGATTTTAGACTGCGTCAATATAAAATCATATGCGGACGAGACTAGAAAAAAGAAACAGCAGAACCACTTTTAGACTGAAAATATATCAAATCGGCGTGTGTACGCTAGTGCTGGACCGGTAAAAGTTTCTAGATTTCTCGTTACTCACCTCTCACTCGAGCAACAAGTCGTCCATGGTGGTCGCGCATGATCCTTGTGACGCTGTCCTTTACTTTCTTTTTTTTTGTTCTGCAATGAATTTTGTACAGCAAGAAACGCCAACAGCAAGAAACGTCATGCAGACTGTACTCGGAACATCAGCGCAGTAGCGTTTATACCACAAACACACACACACCCACACACGTATATTACTACTAGTATGGTGCTTTGCTTTTTTACAGAGTACGACATACACCCTCGAAGAGAAAGAACCAGCGCGACGCAGAATGTTGTCCGTGATTTTATAACAACAATGTGGTGTCTCCGGGTTCGTTGCTTTGGTGAAGTGCTCTTGCAAAATGCGAAAAGGGACTGAAAATATGCCAAAAAGGAAATAAGAACATGCTAAAATAATTGGCGAAAAGGGCAGCTACCCGGAGAGCCCACTGGCTGTGCTCTGTTTGGGCGCCGCGGGAATTGCAGCCAAAAACATAATAACGAATCGAGCAAGAAAGAACCTTGACTAGGTTGATTTGACAGGGCTCGCTGCTCTGCCTAGTGCGTCTCACGCTAGCTTTGAAACGCGTGGCACTAGTCGGCGATGAAAATACTCCCAGCGAAGAACTCCTGAGGCGGAAGACGACTCGAGAAGACTAGGAGGAGGCCGTCGGCTGCCGCTCGGCCTAGTGCCTCGCACTTCATGCAACTCTCACGAGGAGGTCGTCGGCTGCTGCTCTGCCTCGTGCCTCGCGTTTCATGCAACCAACGTGGAGACGCCCTTTCCCGTGCTCGGAAAATGAGATCGACAGCGGAATTAAAAGGCCAATGAGACGCCATCGATCGAGGAGGCCGCCCCAAAAATTTTACTTCTCTCCCAAATAGTTTAATTTTTCAAGTGCTTCTATTTACTGAAAAGCATTTTGCAAAACCAATTCCAAAAGCGCCAGGGCAGAGGGCACGCCGCAGGCCGGAGGCCGCAGACGGAAAAAAACACCGTGAGAACCGAAACGACCCACGCCCGAGCACCAAGAAAGGGTAGGCGCAGGAGGGCGATGTGGGTCGCCCGTTCGCGCTGAACGCCCGCCGCGCGCTGCCCGCTAGACCGCCCGAGCGCCACGGCCGGCCGCGGGAAGCAAAGTACGGCTTGCGGGGCGGGGACCCTTGCATGGCCCGCGGCGCAAACGTAGCACACAGGTGCCAGACGTTTTGGTGGGGGCTGTGAATGTGGTCGGGCGCTCTGGGTTGCGAAGGTGTCTGACCCTTCAGACGCCTTTCCCAGAAAAATCCAGCGGCCCTCCATTTTCTTGCCACAGGTCCCTGCCCGTCCCTCCCCGGGTCTCTCGCTGCTCTCTTGCAGCGTCGCACCCTCTCGCCGCCTCCGTGCTGCCCTAAAATCATGCAGCCCCCCTAGTTGGTGCCCGCCCTTCCCTCTTGCCCCGGAGCGGCTTCCGCGCCTCCACGCTGCCCCCGTCCAGCCCCGCTCCGCCCTTCAGGCGCCGCGCCGCGGATACCGTCCCCCCCGCCGGTTCCCTGTGGTGCGAGCAGGGTGGCGCGTCTGCTATCGCGGTTCCTAGCATGCGGGCGCATGGTCTTCCGAGGCCTCGGCAGCGCTCCCTCGCCCGTAGCAGTGGCGGGCGTAGGGCCCTTCTTCTGCCTTTCCGCGAAGCCGGAAAAGGGCGCTTTGCTACTTGCGGACAAGGGCGGACGAAAAAGAAGGGCGGGGGCGTTTAGAGGCTACACCCGTCACCAGAGGCACCGCCGGGAAAACCGCGGGGCGGGGGGATATGGTTTAGATCGCCCTCTACTGGGGCCCACGGGAAACTAATGGAAGAAAATGGCGCGCCTTTTTTGCCATCCGTCTCCCACGAAGTTGCGGCTTTCTCGCTTCTATTCAACTTAAGAAAGTAGCGAGAAAACCGCGACTTTGGCAGCAATTGCTGGGCTTGCGCCTGGGCCCTTCCTTGCCGTCGCTCGTCGGCAAATAGAAGCGGGCGCTCCTAATGGGGAAAGGGCGCAGAAGCTCTCTCGCCATTAGTTCGCACGGGCGTGGGGCGTTGTCGCTTCTATCAAGCACAAGCAGCGAGAAAGCAGTAGCTGCGCTTGCGTCTGGGTTCCTCTTGGCCGTCGCTCGTCGGCAAATAGGGGCGGGCGCCTCGAATGGGGAGAGAGCAAAAACCTCGCTGCCGTTAGTTCGCACGAGAGCGGGCGCCTGTCGCTTCTTTCGAGCACAAGCAGCGAGGAAGCCGCGACCTTTGGCAGCAGTTTTGGGGCTTGCGCCTGGGTTCTCCTTGGCAGCCGCTCGTCGGAAAATAGGGGCGGGCGCTCCTAATGGGCGAAGAGGGAAAACTTTTTTGCCATTAGTTCGCACGGGAGTGGGGCTCTGTGGCTTCTTCCAAGCTCGGCGCTGCGCGTCGTTGTCGACGTATCGCGGGCCGGCTGCTAGGCAGCTTTGCGCTGCGCGCGCGGGCCGGCTGCTAAGCAACTTTGCGACGCGCGTCCGTTGTCGACTTATCGCGGAACGGCTGCTAGGAAGCTCTGCGATGCGCGTCTGTCCTCGACTCATCGCGGGCAGCCGAGGCTCCGAAAGAAGGCAACTTTTTAAGGGGATCACCTTCCCAACTTGAAGAAGGCCGCAGACTTCAGGTAGTTGCGAAGGCTGCGCGCCATCTAATGGCGGAAGCGAGGTCTTACGCATCAGCTTCGCACGCAAGAGGAACGCGGCGCGAACTCTAATGCGTGGCCCGCGCTGGCATCGGCTGAGTTCTCAGTAGGAAGGGGGGCCGGCGGAATCTGGTGGGGATTCCATGCGAATCGCGAGCGAGATCCAACGAGCCGGCGCTCTCTCTGCATTAGTTTCCCGGGGGACGGTATAGAGGGCGAGCCTGACCTTAAGGGCGGGGGGGGTGGTGCTTCAGTTAAAAAAGGCAGCCCTCACCTCAGGCGATCCTTTGGGCCCGGTGAAGGGAGCCGCTCAGCATGCTCGGCCCCCTGTGGTGTCCCCAGTTGTTTCCCGGCCACACTTACAGGCGCAGAAGGGCCGGAAACCTGGCGCAGAAGGCAAATCCCTCAACAGTTTCCTGCGTGGTTTAGATCGCCCTGCGGGAAACTAGTGGAGGGAAATGGGCTGGGCTTTCTCCATTAGTTTCTACCGAAGTTGCGACTTTCTCGCTTCTATCAGATGCGCGCAGCGAGAGAGCCGGAGCCTCGCAAGCAGTTGGTGGCTGGTAGTGTCAGACCTACAGAAGAGAGGGGGAGCGGATGGCCCCAAGGGTGGCGGCCCTTCTCACAATCTGAAATTTTTAGGACTTAAAAGTCCCGGACTTTTTTAAACCCTGAGACCCCCAGGCCCTCTCGCTTCTATCAAATGCGTTTAGCGAGAAAGCCGGAGGCTTGCAAGCAGTTGGCGGCTGGTAGTGTCAGACTGACAGAAGAAAAACGGAGCGGATGGCCCCAAAGGTGGCGGCCCTTCTCACAAGTCTGAAACTGTTAGGACTTAGAAGTCCACTGATTTCCTAAGCCCTGGGAAACCCTTTCCAGACTTACAGGGGGCCAGCTGTTCCCGGCTTATCGACTTATCGCGGACAGGCTGCCAGGCTCTCACAAGTCTGAAGCTTTTAGGGCTGAAAAGTCCCGGGCCTTTTAAGCCCTGAAAGCCTCAGACTTACAACGGGCCAGCCGTTTCCGGCTTGTCGACTTAAAGCGGGCAGGCTGCTAGGCAAATCCCCGCCGCGCGTCTGCTATCGACTTGCCGCGGGCAGGCTACTGGACGGCTTTGCGCTCCCGGCGGGCGATCTAATGGCGGGAGCGAGGCTTTGCGCATCAGCTTCGCAGCCCGGAAACAGGCGGCCGCTCGATCGCGGGCGGGCAGGGCTTCGAAAGGGGGCGACCCTTTGGGGGGATTACCTTCCCCACTTGAAGAGAGTCGCGCTCTTCAACCTGGTCGCGAAGTTCGCCCGCGATCTAGTGGCGGAAGCAAGGTTCTGCGCATCAGTTTCGCACGAAAGAAGAGCGCGCTGCGGAGTCTAATGCGTGGCCCGCACTGCCCTAGGTGAAGCCCTGAGCAGGGGCCGAAACCTGCGGAAGCTTATGGAGATTCCGCGCGAATCGCGAGCGAGATCGAACGGGCCGGCGCCTCCTTTGCATTAGTTTCCCAGAGTAGAGCGCAGAGGCCGGGCCTCGCCCCAAGCCCGTTCCCTTGTAAGTGACGGCGTTCGGCTCGTAACTTTTTAGCACTTTTTTGAAAAATTAAGCAACAACCCCACCGTTTCTAGTTATGGAGTTCAACTTATACTAGGCGGCATTATCACAATAGAGCAACGTCATAACTTCGGAGGAGTTACCTTCTGAAAAGCGTACACTTTTCAGAATTTTGCTGAAACGTTAAAAAAGTTATTAGAATTCATTCAATAACATGATAGCTTTTCCAAAAAAGTTTCATGTTTTAAAAAAAACCAAAAAAATACTGAATCTAAATTGTAAAGCCATTCCTTAAGATTATACAAAATAAAGACCTTACCCCCGCCCGGCGCTTAAAAATTGGAAGCGGGTAAGCCTTGCGGCCTACCAATATCAGACCAGAAGCAGGCCGAGCCCAGAACGAAGCAAAGGGGGATGCTCCTTGACATTGAGAGGACTCCGCGGCCATCTGCTCCAACACCAGAACCGCGACGCCGCACAGCGTCGGCGCCCGCTCTGTGTCTAGATTCCTCCACGGTCTAGATGTGGCCATCTGTCTGCGAATGATTCTAATAGTTACGCTTTAGCTACGTGGTGAAGAATGCACCCCCCCCGCAAGGCTCCGGCGGCGGCCTCTTGCGAGCCTGCCGGAGGCTTTGCGAGGCGGCTCCCGCGGGCTCTGCCCCTGCCTCCCAGGCTCTCCGAGAAGCTTGGAGGAGACTCACCCACGAGCCCCGACCGGGCTGCCGCAAAGGTCTCGGGGCGGGTCGAGGGGGGCCCGCGGTCCCGAAG